ATTGGATTTATAAATTACTTAGGGAGAACATTGATGGACAATGGTTGGGCAATAAAGATTTCATGGGCAAGGGAAATGGTATAATTCTATGAAAATGAAAGCAACACTTTATCTTGATTCACAGATATTAATGAATGTGAGACCAGGATGGCAAAGTGCAAGTATGAAACTTATTGTACAAATAAAATTGGAGCTTACATCTGTAGCTGTTGGCGAAAACATCCTAGCTTCAACTCGCTGGCTAGTTTTACAGGTTATAATCATTCAGATTGTTATGGTAAGAACCTCCAAATACTGTTTTCACTGAAAAATGATGGGGACTTGGGGGAAACTCTGAGAGATTCTCTAATTTTAGGCCAGGGTAAGAGAGTAAAGCTTCATCCTAACCCTCATCCCTCATTCCTTTGTTATCTTTGATGATATTTTCCAAGATGGTGTCATCCAAGCCTTGGCATCAATAACCATCTCTATATAGATGCTTCCAAATGTATGTGTCCAATACAGGTCTGTTTCCCGAGCTTCCAAAAGGGCACCTTTAAATTTCTTCCGAATTTCTCTATTTATTCATCTCTCACTCATCTGAAATTCAATGTTTATGTCTACTTACCTATCTACTAAATCTGATGAATTCACACTGATACCTCTGGTTCCAGTTCAACATCAAGGCTTGTGGAAACTTCCCTCTTTCCTTATTTGTAACTTCCTTCTCCAACAATGAGAAACCCATCTCTCACTATCCACAATTTATTTATTTGTTTAATTCCAGCATTATTTCACGTTTTGGGTAGGAGAGATTGGATTTAAGTGCTAAATCTTCCACTTACCATCTGGCTTTCAGTTAATGACTTAATTTCTATACACCTCATCTTTAAATGGGAGTAGTAATATTAATAGTATCTACTGTGTCAGTTATGTGTTGCTGCATAACAAGTTACCCCCAAATTTAGTGGCCTAAAACAACACATATGTATTGTTTCATAGTTTCTTTGGGTTAAGGAACTAAGCATGGCTTAGCTGAGTCTTTTGCTTCT